CGCGAATGGATTCCTCGATGACGCCGTAGATAAAAATGCCACATCATTTATGAACAAAACCCAAACTTACAAAAAACCATATATAAAAACCTATCTAATGAAACTTAAACAACGAATATTAACTTAATTAAGGTTATTTTTAAATTGATAAATCATTTAATACAAATATAAATACTATAAATATAGAATTATATCAAGTTTTGACATACGATATAAAAACTATTTACAGCAAAAAATAAAAAAGACACCTACTTTTATACACTAAAAACTATATTATAACATAACTGTTCCTATAAACCTTACATCGTATATAAATAACATTTAACACATTAGATATACAATATTTTCACTTTACACTCTTACTACATTCTTTCCATTTCATTAATATTTGGTGTTATTAGAAGAATCCACTAAACTACTAAATCGAAAAAAATATACGTAAACATGATGATTCCGGCCCCGCGCTTGCGCGGAGAGTATGCAACTAGTATGACAAATAGATTAGATGCTATGCCTGCCTATCAATGCCTTAATTACATCAGTTGTGTCTTCGATCATTCTGTTTGGTGAGAATTAGGTAAGGAATTTGTCCCATATCACCTTCAAATTGGTTGATAGACTTATCCTATGTGTATAGATGAGCCTCGGTGCTAACGATTCCTAAATAAAAGTTGAGGGGTGAAAACATAAATTTCGGATAGGTTGGGGCTTCTTAAACTATAAACCTTTTCTATTTTAGTAGACCCGAGAAAAGGGTTTGGAGCTTTAAAGGAAAGGAAAGCTCTTTGAACCGCCGCTTTGTCCGCATCTTCTCTCTGCAGAGATTTATCGAGAGATGGGTCTAACGGAAGAAGAAATCAAAAGACTTTACAGAATCCAGAAGACGTTGATGCAGATGCTCAAGGACCGTGGCTACTTCATCGCCGACTCTGAAATCACCATGAGCTTGTCACAGTTTGTTAGAAAGTATGGAGACAACATGAAAAGAGAGGATCTTGTTACTCTCAAAGCTAAGAGAAACGACAGCAGTGACCAGGTTTTTGTCTTATTACCCTGATGAGACTGTCTCTGTTAGTTTTATAGTAACTAAAGGTGGAAGCTTTGACTATGAGAACACATGTTGTTATGTGCTTTAACAAAAGCTTAGGTCTTACTTAGGGTTTAGGGAAAGAAAGGTAGATTTTGAAGAAATAAATGTTATAATTTTTATTCATTACTACTACTGTTGTGTAGCTCTATATCTTCTTCCCTGATGAGGCGAAAGTTGGAGTTAAGACGATGAAGGTGTACACAAACAGGATGAAATCAGAGAATGTTTACAGGGCAATCTTGGTGGTTCAACAGAACTTGACTCCTTTTGCTCGAACTTGCATTAGTGAGATCTCTTCAAAGTTCCATTTGGAAGTTTTCCAGGTAATAAAACACACACTTTATTGGAATTCTGATAATTACGTGTATTAACATCACAATCCTTAACAATGTTGCAGGAGGCGGAAATGCTTGTGAACATTAAAGAACATGTTCTTGTTCCGGAGCATCAAGTTCTCACCACTGAAGAGAAGAAGACTTTGCTAGAGAGATACACTGTCAAGGAGACACAGGTTAGTAGTTTCACTATGTAGAATCATTCTTCTTGGTGATTGATGAGTGGGATTTTAGTTTTGTGTAATTTAAAGTTTGGAACGTTGTGTGTTTGATAGCTTCCAAGGATCCAAGTGACTGATCCAGTCGCAAGATACTTTGGGCTAAAACGTGGACAAGTGGTGAAGATCATACGTCCGAGTGAAACTGCTGGTCGTTATGTTACCTATCGTTATGTTGTATAAGCAAAAAAGCTTTTGTGGATTGCTGCGAATAGGATCGCTGAGAGTTGTGCTGTTGTACGAAATTGTTGACAATGTTGTTTGTTAGATGTGTGAACTAGAAGACCTTACAAGAACATTCTGTTTATTGTAATATGGGTAAGGTGGTCTTGCCAAGGTCTCGTGAGCACTGAGATGATTTCATGTTTTGGGTTTAATACACTACTTAAGAAATAACCATCCACAAACAAAATCATCTAAGCACAAAACAAAACCAAACGACGTCAATCCAAGTGTTGTTTTCGTTCATACATCACTTGTTATTTCTGATGGACGGATGAATCTTTTAGCTATGGAAATGGCAAATACAAGTAATAGGACACATTTTTTTCTACTGAATGTAGAAAATAAACTTCAAAAACGTAATGTTTTTTTTTATGAGGGATATGACAACTTCATAAACAAAATTGTCCATCTTTTACCACCCTTTCATGGTTATGATTTGCATCAAATCTATAGTTTTGTCTCAAATCATTAGCGATTGTATACACAACGAAAACATCTTTGATTATCTATTTCATGATGAAACCCATACAACGAATTAAGTGGCCTAATAAATTTGCATAAACCGGAAGTGTATTCTCCCCTCAACTCAAAAGTTCAAAACCATGTTTTCAGGTCTTGTTGACTTTCTTGAGTGAGTAAAATGTTCAAAAAAAAAACTACAAGATTTAAGGTATTGCTACCTTCTTTCTTGAATCAGTAAGATTCAAAACTATTGCAGTATGATCGCTTTAATCCCTGTCTCATTGACCAACGGCTCTGCCATTGATGTTGGCCAACACACGAGGAGCCAATGTCCAAACGTGTCTTGCAATGAAACTGGAGTTCGTACTGAGCTCCAAGGATACGATAACGCTTCAACCAAAACAGCTTCTTGCTCAGCTCGTGACTCTGAGCTTCGATTACAAGAAACCGTTTCTTGAACCTCATCTCAAACTGCTCCCTCGACTTCTTAGCCAAATTTGTTGGTTATCATATTCAGTGTACTAATTATTAAATTATAATAGAATAAATGAACAATAAATCAAAGTTAAAAAAAGGTTTCTTTTCTCAGTACAAAAAAGATGCAAAGTGTATAAAATTACATTTAAATCTACTAGATGACCAGAGAAAATCCGAGTAAATAATAATACATAAGAGAGAAAGAGCTCAAAGACTAAGAACATGCAAAGCCTACATCAATGGATTCTAGTGTTCTAAGTTTTGATCTTGCAAACGTATCAATCCCCTGCAATTTCTTTTACTCTCTGGTGGGTGTTGTCTCCCAAGTTTTGGTTGTTTTTGAGAGATTCATCTTCCTTTCTCGGTCTTCTTTCTTCTCTGTTTCACTTGTGTATCCTTCTGGTACTCGGCTTCTTAGTGAAAGATTCAATCAAGCGGAACATCCAACGATCTAGCATCCCTATTGAAGACCATGACTTAAACTATATTAGAAAAATATTTTTATGAGATAGAGTACTAAGATTATGATAAAGATGGGATGGAACCTGTCAAAGCAAAGGTACCCCCTAATACAGCGCAAAGCCGGGTGATCAAGTGGAGAAAACTACGGCGTTCTTCCTTGATGGTCACGGTGATAGGTGAAAGATCATATAAAAAGTAGACAGCTGAAAAATTGAAAGAAGATGCCATCAAGAAACAGAGTAAATAAGAACACTGGAAATGAAGTCTCTTTGACCAACTAACCTGGCCATGTCCGGCTGAATTCGTTCATCGGTGTGTAATATTCAGTTACAGAATATTGATTTGTTGACAAAACGTCTTTTGAAAGATATCTATATTCCGTGGGAACAATCTGCACCAGACACCAGAGACAAAATTAGTGACCCTAAGCTACAAAAAAATGAAGCAGAGACATATATACCTTAATATAGTATTTGAATGTTCCACTGGTGTCATGCAGGATTCGGTTTGTGTCATCAAGTGGGTTGTGAATTCCGGGGTACTTCGGCCCAAAGGATAGATCATGAATCATATGGCTCACGTTTACGTTTTTGGACCCTCCAAATATCTGTTTTAGAGGGTAAAATAGATTAGTTAGATACTGATAAAAAGAGAATGTTTATGAAGCAGAGATAGTGATACCAACCATTTGAGCAACATAAATGTTCAGCCCGTGAACTGAAACGTGGAAGTTTCCAGCAACCCGTTGTACATCTAGGACACCATAGACCTGGAAAACAGTCAACAGGATTAGCTTATGTGGTCTAAAACGCCAACAAGGCAATATTTCAAGTTTGTCTACTGATAAATGCAGAGGTTAATACCCGGCATCCTTCTCCATCTGCTAATGCTTGCTTCACCTTTTTAATCATCGTCTCAGCAGCTTGATCAAAGCCAAGAGTATTCAATGCTTCCGTCTCATTCTTGTGTTCTTCTTTGCCATCTTCAGCAAGCACACAAGATATCATATTAAAAAAGTGTACAAGATTATGTCTCTATTCTTATAAAAGACACTCCTATATAATAGGCTCAATTCAACTTGTAAGATTCTTATTGACATTTGTCTGAAAGCACAAAATTCGTGTAATTCAATCGATAGAACATATTTGAGAAACATACACATGCTGTTCTTCCAAAAGTTCAAGACAAAGAAACCCAAACGATAGCTAAGGGAACTGAAGCTCGTCAGAAGATGTACAAACTGGAAGAAGGCTCATTAAGTTAAGAAGGTTACCATGCTTGTGAGATGAGTGATCATGCTCCTTTTCAACAAGATCAGATATATATTCTGTACCAATGACATGACCATGACTGTTGAGACGGAGCTGCAGACACACGCAGTTAATGAGAAATTAACTCGATTATAAGCCACTACAACTAGAGCAAACGCCATAAAAGTGACATAAAGATATCCAAATAGTTACATTCACATAGTATGTTTGACCTAAACATGTTTCAAGCGCAAACTAACAAAATAAGTTTCAGTAATTCACTAAGATGGAAGAGAAAATATGTATTAGAATCTGGATTCAACTTACTTTCCAAATGTTTGTATCGAGATCCACTTCATGTTTCCCTGACATGTCGATAGCATCCATGCTCAAAACTACAAAAGAAAATACAGATCAAATAATAAAGTTGAAGACGACTAGTATCCAGAAGGCATGGAGAAAAGAACTATGTGATCAATGAATTCCACTTACCATCACAAGGCAAAGATGGAAACGTCATATTTACATGAATAGGAAGAGTTTCTCCACGCTTTAAGTCCACTGACATCTAAAAATAAAACAATCTAAATTTCATTTGGATTACGATGGTCACATAAAATACATAAGGAGAGAAACCTACACGAGCCAATCAAATGAATAGAGAACGTTAAGGACGTTAACTCAACATAGAGACTTCAAATCCATATTTCCCAAATGTTAAAATTCAATATACAAAATTTAACTAGGCATAAAAAAAAGGTTTGACCAAAAAAAAATATTATTCAAAAATATAGAATGGAAGAATACTATTCCACAGCATCTATCTATCTATCGAGTTTCATAGGAAACATGAAACAGAAGATCATTCACTGCGACTCTTAGGAGTATGCAGAGCAGTTTGAGGGAAGAGTCAGAGAAATAAAGAAGAAAGCACTCAGTACATACCTGATGCACTGTGAGTGTATTAAGATAGTAACTCAGCTCGTGCAAGAACAAAGTAGCCATTATAAGGAGTCCAACAACCGATACTACAATAACAAATAAATAACATGTTAAAACAAATCACACACTCAAAAAGGGAGGGGCTCTCTAAGAAAAACGCATTACCAATTGCACCAGATTGTGTTTTCTGCAGCAAATGATCCTCTGTTCTTGGAAACGCATCAATGCTCTTTAGAACCTGCTTCACACCCATCCTACCTAGCAGCTTCCCCTCAATACCAATGCTTGAATACTAAACGAATTTTTTATCTCCAAGGACCTACAAAACTACAAAATTAACATTAAATATATCCAAGTGTTCTAAAAATCGGTCTATGCAGCACCTAAGTGTCTAGTCGTTTAATCGGCAAATCGTGTCTAAACAAACATTTTTCTAGAACTAATTTTTTTTTTTAAATGGGTCAAAAAATTGGTTACACTAACATAATCCCTAGCCACACCCTATCAATTCATTGAACATAGGAAACACTAAAATAGACCAATTCAACCATCAAATACTTTGTCATATCAAACCCAATTCTCTTTTTTTTTTTTCTCTCAATATTTATCGATCTAGAGCTTCTATGGCGGTTAATCTAAAAGAGCCTATCTCAAAATCGACACCTAACCCATCCACGCAGACGCATCGTAAGATTCAAAGGAGGTAGCTTTTTCGAAAATTAAGCTCAAATAGCCACAACCCTTAAATCAAAATTCAGATTTTTAGAATGATCTTCACCAGCCTTAGATGATTTCAAAAGGAATATAATTTGAAAAACCCAGTTTCTGGAGATCGTACTTTAATCGAGGTTGAAGGGCGCGCCGAGAGAAAGATGAAGAAGAGAGAGAGATCTCAGGGTCCTTCTTCTCCGGTTCCTTTGATGATTTAACTAACGGCGTCTCTCTTTTCCCGTCACTAAATTCTATAAATTGATCCCCTCGATTTATTTACATATTACTAATTTAAGCACACATAGTCTTCTTATTCACGTACAAACCCTCATACGCTTAGTATTTATAGGTTATGCCCCTGAACTTATTTAAAACTATTAATTTAGCATTCATATTCTTATTTTTACGTCAAAGACCCTCAAACTCTCAAAAGTTGAGGGAGACAACATGTTCGAGAAAACGATCATTTAAATATCTATAGGACGTCTACTTTCCTGCTACTAGCTATGGCTCGGACTCTGTTTCTTGTTCAAGTGATGGAAGTTGCAAGCTATTAGCTATGGCTCAAATTTTGTTTGTTATTTTCTTCTTCTAATGGTAGTTATTCTGAGAGAAAAAAAGTTCTTTCTTTATAACATCATCAATTTGACCAATATAACAGGAACATGAATAATGATGAGTCTAGCAAATGCTGCTTGATATTAGATTCTTTTGTTAAAATGAAAGTACTAGAATTAATAAATTACACGAAATTTTTTAAAACCCAATAGTAAATACATCTTACAAACTGAGCACAATAACACATAAGGTTTTAAATATCAATCACAAAAACACACATGGTGTTACAAACCAACATAACAACACATGAGCTTTTCAGAAAAATGTGAATGAGTTAATAAAAGAGAGATATAATGTATTTGGATATACCACTGCCACACATATATTTCGAGGAGAACCTTTTCCAAACTCCCGTTTTTAAAGAGATTCAAACTCATCTTCTTTACTTAATCATACCTGTAAAGTTAGTAAAATCGTTAGAAGAGCTGAATTTGGGTTTGGAAGGGAAGGAACAAACAAAAAGAGAAATAGGAGAATGATAAGAGAAAAATGATTTTTAAGATTAAGGTTCTAAGGTATTTTGATTTGGGGATTTTGTTTTGTTTTCTAATTTTAAAACGGGCTTTTTTCAGAATTGACCTGAAATTTGAAATCAACCACAAAACTAACCTCCTTTTTTTTTGGAACTTTATTTTGCCCAATTCACCGCACAAGTTCATATAATTCACAAGTTCATATAATTCACGAAAATGCCATCAATTTGTTTTTTTTTCGCAAATAACATATTTACTCTCTCACCCTCATCATCTTCAAGTAATTACAAGATTGCCATTTTCATCAATACTCCAACAACCATGAACAACCAATTTTGAAGCTCTTAATGCCTCCAAATTCCATTTACCCTTCTTCTTTCTCTATTCTCATGAACTAAACAACACATTATAACACATATCTCTCACTTTCTCTCCACAATGAGTTAAAAAAACCCAAGATTTTGATTCTACATTTTTTAGGGTTCATATAGTCAAAGAAATTAAAGATTCAAGGTGGATTACCTTCGTTTGAGCTCCTGAGTGCTTGATTCTACATTTTCTAGGATTCATATAGTCAAAGAAAGTGCTCTCACCAATTGAAGGTATGAAATCGAGTTTTTTTTTGCGATCTGTTCGTCCAGACGACTGAAATTTCAGTCCTCTGCTTTCGTCCAGTCAACGCAGAAGTTATTTTTGCAATTGACTTTGTAATTTGTTTCCAGAGACGACTGAAATTTCAGTCGTCTACTTTATTTTGGCTACAAAAAAATATCTTAAGAATCTAGACGACTGATATTTCAGTCGTCGTATGTTAGTTTTGCATATGACTAGAAAATTTCAGAATTTTGACTTTCTAGGACGACTGAAATTTCAGTCGTCTGCGAAAAAACTGAAATATCATTTTTTTATTGAAACGCACGACTTACAATAGGTTAGTTTTGCAATTGTGAAAAAAAACTTTAACTTTCTAGACGACTTACAATTCAGTCGTCCGCCAGACGACTTACAATTCAGTCGTCCAGGATTTTATTCCGAGATTCTGGTCAAACCTCGTAAATCCTAGACGACTCAATAATAAGTCGTCCCAGGGACGACTGAAATTTCAGTCGTCTAGATTTTTTTAAATATTGAAGTTTGTTTTCGCAATTGCAAAACTAACCTACGACGACTGAAATGTAAGTCATCCAATTTCAATAAAATATTGATATTTCATTTTTTCGCAGACGACTGAAATGTATGTAGTCCTAAAAAGTCAAACTTCTGAAATATTCTTGTCAAATGCAAAACTAACCTTCGACTGAAATTTCAGTCGTCTGGATTTTTTTTATCAAACATACCCAGACGACTGATATTTCAGTCGTCCCAACTAACTGATTTCAAAGTCAATTGCAAAAATAACCTCTGCGTTGACCAGACGACTGAATGTTTAGTCGTCTGGACGACTTACATTTCAGTCGTCTGCTTCGATCTCTAATAAACTTTCTTTTTCTTTCTT